TAAATTAAGCTCCATTTGCCACTTCCTGGCCCATCTGATCAAGGTCCCATTGTACTCTGAGATAAACCTCTTTAATATCCACTACAAACACAAATTTTGCTGTCATCTGCAAATTTACTAACCTAACCTCCTATATTCACATCCAAGTGATTTACATAAATGATGAAAAGCAGTGGACCCAGTACTGATCCTTGTGGCACACCGCTGATCACAAACCTCCAGTCTAAAAAACAACCTGCACCGCCACCTTTTGTCTTCTACCTTCAAGCCAATTTTGTATCCAAATGGCAAGCTTCCCCTGGATTGCATGTGATCTAACCTTGCTAACCAGTCTACCATGTGGAACCTTGCTAAATGCCTTATGTTGAGAAGGAATGTCAGGGATAATGAGAAGAGAAAACAGGAGATTGAGGAAGAACTGGGAGAAGCAGGTGTGGGCTAAGAAGAAACAAGAGAAAATCAATGTCAAGCAGAAGACATTGGAGGTGTCTATGGATGTTACTTAAACAGACTTCCAAAAGGCTCCAAAGGCCCTCATTAGAGTGCCATTAGCAAAAGTTATGGATAATGGCACGTAGGGAACTTACTGACCTGGTTAAACTGGCTGAGTGACAGAAGACAGTGGAGATAATAAGCAAGTATTCTCACATTATGGACCAGATCAGACAAAATAAAACCCCCTCAAAATACGCAGAAGATAGTCTTCCCTAACTCTTTTTTTTTCAAAAAGACAAATGAAAGGTGTTGCATTCCAGATGCAATTCCAGTGGTCAAACTACTGGACTTTAAACAAAACACACTTTATTCATCTACTGTACTGTAAAATACAAAAGAAGGGAGTAATTGGAATAACCTAATTCAATTGGAAAAGTTAACAGAATAATAGATACAGTAACTATTATAATTAACTGTTCCAATATAGCAACAATCCATAAACACACCATTGGCAAAAGGCAAATTCAAGAAACAGATTGTCTCACATGCAACTCCTATAGCCCAAGTGGAAAATCATCAAGAGAAAACTCAGAGCGTAGCAGCCAGGAGATTTACTGCAGCTTCCAACCCTGCTGAGGCTCCAGCAACTACTGGTGAATGCTAAATTTAAAACTCTTCGTTCTGTAGGTGGGAGCTTGACCACACCTACTAAAGCTGCTTCAATCGCTCCAACTTTAAACAAAACACTTAAGGCTTCACAAGTTGTTCATCATCTTATCGCCATCTGGCCCACAATCTCTCTCCAAAAGAAACTAGGACAAAACACACATCTTAAAGCCATATTATCATTCCACTTATTGGCAAGACTTTAAGTTTCTGTAAGTTTCAGCATTGAGGACTCAACAGTTCACTGTTCTTAGTGACAACTTAGATAGAGGAGATAGAAAGCTACTTATCCAAATGCAATGACAAAAGCAGACAGCACTGTAACGAGCATAGATGAAAACACCAAATTATAACATGATATTTATAAATAAATTAAAAGCAATGGGCAAATTTGTGGTAAATGGATTTTACTGCAGGCAAATGAGAGTCATCCATATTGCTCATAAAATGTGATAGAGCAGCATATTTATTCAATGGTATGAAAATAGAAATGGTGGAAGCTCAATGAGATTTGGCGTCCAGGCAGACAAATGACAGATATGTCATGAACAGGTAAGAAAATAAGTAAAGACACTAGTAGAACATGGAACACAAAGTTCAATTGAATACAGAGAGAACAGTTAGACAGTTTGATAGTTCTAAATATTTAAAACTTAGAATAAGCAGAGGGTAAGCAAGAATCATGGAATGGAACCATATTGGTATTCATTGGGATAATGTTAGAGCAACAGCCAAGGAGGGTGATATTCCTGCAACATGTTCACGAAAACTTCCTTCTCAGTCCAGCTAGCAGACATGGCTGGATCAGGTGCCAAGGATTGAGGTGGGTCAAATAAATCAAGCATTTGTGGGCTTATACTTGGTTAAGAGTCAAAGATTAGATTTGCAACGGAGAAAATCAAGAAAGAAGTCTGAAGTTGAACTTCTCACTGGAACAGGGCTTCTTTTTCATGAATAGGATGAGGATATCACTGGCTAGGCCAGCCTTTATCGCCCATCCCTCATGTCCCAGAGGGCAATTAAAGTAAACCAAATAGTCATGAATCTGGAGTCAGAAGTAGGCCAGGTAATGAATGCTGATAAGTTTAAAGTTAGGCTGTAAACTGTTAAAGTTAGAAAGTTATATTAAAAAAAAATCAACATCAACATCTTATAGCACAACAACAGGCAGATCTCACCTACCTGGCGCAGTGTAATTATGTTGAAACACGTTATTTTAAAAAAAAATCAAAAAAATCAAAAAGGAAAAAAAATCTCGTACCAGCTTGCCAACAGTAAGCAAATATTAAGGAATGGGATAGGGCCCCTTTTTAAAACTTATTCTGTAGAGGTGCCGGTATTGGACTGGAGTGAACAAGGACAAAAGTCACACGGACACCAGGTTATAGTCCAACAGGTTTATTTGAAATCACAAGCTTTCGGAGCGTTGCCGCTTCGTCAGGTGAAGTCACATTCACCTGGAGTTGTGTGACTTTTGTTTTAAAATTCATGGGATATTGGCATTGTTGGCTAGGCCAGCATTTATTACCAATCCTCAATTGCTGAGAGAGTGGGTAAGAGTAAAATATCTAAGAGTCACACATAGGTCAGACTAGGTAAAGATGTCAATTTAAAAAACTGACATTAGTGAACCAGATGGGTTTTTATAGTAACTGACAGTGGTTACATGGTCACCATTAGGTAAGTCTTCTATTCCAGATATTATGGAAATTAAATTTCATCATCTGCCATAATGGGATTCAAACTATGTCCCAGAATATTGGCTTGGGGTTTTGGAATATTAGTGATTGTGTTGTGTTCAGTGGCATTACTACAACGCCACCACCTGCCACTGTTAGGGACGAAGAGAGTGAAAATAATGTTTAGAGATGAAGACTGGGATACTTAGTTCTTAATTTTATCGTTGTTTCAAAAAAAGAGAACATTAGCGACACCTTTTCTGAAAGAGATACAGTGATAAAAGAAAAGGAATAGATTTGCATACAGAGCATATTTCATAATCAAACATCTCAAGGCACTAACACCAAATGCTTTTTGAAGTGTAGTCACTGTTTGTAATGTAGGAAACACAGCAGCTCATTTGAATAATTTGATAAACAGTAATGTAAGTAATCTTTTCATGATATTGATTGTAGGATAAATATCAGCTAGGATATCTGGGATAACTCCCCAGCTCTTTTACAAAATACACATCTTTTATATCCACCTAAACAGGCAGATGGGATCTTGATTTAACATTTCATACGAAAATGGCACTTCCAACTATGTACTGGAACTTTAGCGTCTTTCCCCACCCACCCCCCACCTCAAATCCCAGCAGGGGACTTGCACCTGGTGATTCACTTGCAAAATGTGTTCTAATTTGGAGAATACAGATAATGGATTGGAAGCATCTAAAGGCGGCTGGCTATGTAATGAAGGACTTGACATAATCTAATTATCCAAGAGACGGCAGAGGTGACTGGGGAGTGGAAAATGCAATACCTTCATTCAAGGAAGAATGCAAGAACATTCCTAACTACAGGCCAGTGAATTTACTGTCTATTGGAAAAATAAAATTCAGCAGGTACTTGGAAAGGACTGAGTTTGTTACGGAGATCCAGCATGATTTCTTTTTAAAAAGGCACATCATGTTTAACTTGGTAAATGGGTTTTTTTTTGATGTAGTTAACAGAGAAGGCTAAAGAAGGGAATGCAATGTATGATAACAAGGTGTAGAGCTGGATGAACACAGCAGGCCAAGAAGC